CAAACATAGGTAATAGTAACTGCCCTCAAAGGTAAATACTGTAACCTGTAAATGTTCTTACTTGTTTTATTTATGGTGTCTTTATAACTTTGTGACAATAGCTCTTTCCCTATGACTAATGATATATTGGGCACCTTTATGAAGTTTATAACATTATTTTTTAATTATTTTCCTTATGAAGAATTTGATGCTATTTTCAACTAGTTTAAATTCTTGGACAAATGTGATAAATTTTTTGGGTTTAGGTCACAAAATACTAATAATATATAAAGTATGGTCATTTTTATATGCCAAATATCCTGCTAAATTTCTTATTAGATTCTTCCATCAGGTAAGAATCTATCCAGCCATACTGATCATGGAGCCCCAAATTAACTTCTCTTCTCTGTCTCCTTGCTTCTTTGTAAAGGGTCGAAGTCTCTGGGGTTGTTACCACTGCACAGCCCCTGAGCTTTAGACATTTGCTGTTCCCTTTGTTTCCTATCTATATTGCACAACCTTCGTACTCTGCCCCCCAACCATGAGCCATTAGTCCCCAAGGAGATTAGACTCATCTTTGGGGTTCAGCCCAAGTATCACCTAACAAAGGAAGTCTTTTCTATCCAACCAGCATTCTGTACATATTCCTGTTTTATACTTACACTACCCTATAACATTGGTTATATGGCCATACACTACCATATAACATGTAGATTATTTGTCATTGTTCTTGTATAATAAGCTCCCTAGGGATAGAGCTTATATGAAATTTGTCTTCATATTTGAAGGGCCAACTGTTTGAGATAAGATAAGGGTTCAGAGTTTCTTGATTACATAAACAAACTTTTCTTAGGTAGTTCATCAGTTTCTTCATCTAAATTAATTGGTAGGCTTCTCCCTATCAGGAATTAATCAGTCATTACACTACATGAGATGCACTTTCTGCACATCAAATTGAACTCTAGCATTACTTACAGTTCCCTAGAATACTAAAAAAATAAAGGAGCTACTATTTCTATACTATTATACCGGGTTGATTTACACCTCTCAGTAGCAAAATTATATTTAAATGTATGTAAGAAAGATCTAAATGTAAAGATTCTGTTAGCTTTATCTGTAGACGAACTTTGTTTTATTTAGCTTTGTATCTACCACTTTTGCTTTTGTGTGTGTGTCTTATTTTTGTATGTATAGAAAAAAAGGTAAAAGATGCAGTTGAGTGAAGAGAGAGTATATCCTCTGTATTTATTTATACACTTATATGCCTTGTGATGGAATGAGTTTTATGTCACTAAAATAATCATATGGAAAATATACCCATC